GTTTTTCGTATACAATGATATAATATCATTGGATTCAAATTTAATTCCATCCATTACAGTAACCCACTTGTAACCTACTGTACAGCAGAGCGACATACACGACTTACCCGCTTTTTTTTTTTTGAAAAACAATAATATAAGTAATAATAATTGTAACTTTGAAGTTTGAAATGTAATAACTGTTAATCATCATAAAATATCATAATTTAGTCGCTACCGCCCTTACCAGTTCAGAGAGGTTGTGCAATCAAATGGGTAGATCGTAAGTACAAAACTTTTACAAAAATTCTCAAGCTGCGGTATAGATAGGTACGAACTTACACCATTGGCGTGTTACCACTCTAATGCAGAACTGATGCGTATAATAAACGCAAAAAAAGTTTGAAAACCTCGTGTATATCATATAATACATAATACAAGAAAGTTTTAGACTATTTTCAATACTACTAAAACGTGTTCTCACAGCAAACGAATCATAAGAAAATCAAAACTTATAGCTACCGCGGTAATTGTTGCCGTTTTATTTAGTCGGAAGCCATTTCAATAACTAAAGTTTAACTACCACGTATTTTATTGTATTATGTTCAGTTGTCTTTATACTTCCACTAACTAGTATCACATCTAGTAAAAACATACATACTCACGAATTCATAGGTGTGCGCAGACATTGCTTGCTGGTGGTGTATTCCAATTTTACTATTTCACTACTTTTGCAATCATCCAATATGCTTTCCTATACAAAATATTGGAAATTCTTATTATGGCTTCACTTACAATATTTTTTTTAAACAAGTTGTACTTGTTTTTTAATAATATAAACATCAACATTCACCATAAAACCATAAAAAAAAAACAAAATAATCAATAACATTAATTTATTATTTATTTATAAGGAACATACATTTTCACTTAATACCTATACGGGCAATAMGAAAACTAAATTTCGATACGGTGAATGGTCGGAGTTAAATATTTAAATTCTTCAATGATATCTTCAAAATTCAAATGTGTAACAATTTTTTGCTCCACAAATATTCCTAAAGATTTAATAATAGTAACATGCTTTAAAAATGTTTTTGTATAGCAAACACCAGGCCATGAAGCCGTAAAGCCGCGGGTTAGGTTGGGTCCATGGTTAGATATAGTACCTGTGATGCATTTACCTATAGTTAATAATAATAATTACAAGTAACAATACATTGCCTTCAATTAGACACTTAGGTATATTTCTTTGCCTTTAACCGCTGATAACATCTCAATAGTCAATCCAAGCACGTAAAAATTGTTTGGCTAACTTTAACTTTTAATTGGCCATCCATCCTATCATTCGCTGATATATAAGCACACTTGAACATTGCACCTAACCGAAACTGTTTTCGAGTGTTAACCTATGATGCGATGCAATCCTCGAATGTTTTCATTATTATTGATATAACATCGTGTAATTAATTTTCTCAGATAAAAACATGCCCCATCGGTATAAATTATCGTCCCATAGCAGAGATCGGGAACCTGCGGCTCTTTAACATGTAATCTGTAACTCTTTGAAAAATTCATAAATATATCGATCCCGTAAAATATAAATTTTATTTGTGAAAAAAATGGCAAAATACTATAACTACAACTACAAAAAAAAGGTTGTTTAGTTCCTGGGCGGCTCTCAGTACATCATGGTTTAGTAACTTTTTTAAAAGAATGGCTCTTTCCTATGAAGAGGTTCTTGACCCCTGCCCTATAGAATCAATTATACATATAATAATATGTAGATATATTATATATAACATACATATACACGATATATCTACCTCCTATACAGTAGATTTCAGTTATAACTAATTAGAAAATGCATAATACTACAATTTTACGTTTGTTTAATAAAACCAATCGTTCGTTTATAAGTTATAAATTATTACAAGGTCTCGAATATAAATGCCCTTAAAAATACCGAAAAAGTCCTTTCAAACAATACATTATTTATTGAAATTTAATAATTAAATGAACTCAAATTATAACGTAAAATAAAATTTACGAGTRATTTAGATTTAATATAAAATTAAATTATATTTGAAAAATATTTAACATGTGAAATACAGCTACAGTATCTTCTACATAATACGCAATACGACTTAAAGCGTCCAAGAATCGACCATACCGATATAATATAATCGCTCGATACGAAAATTGTGTTTACTGTATCATATAACTTGTATGCAATCAACTGGATAATGTGACATAAAGATAAATGTCACTTGTCAGCTTTGTCTAATTTAAAACCGGATTACCAGATGTTAAGTTCAAAATGAAAATAATTTATATTAGATACGTATGACTAACATGTAATACTTATACACTTCAATGAGATCAAAATATTTAAAAATACATTAAAAACGACAAAAAATGGCCTAGTATGAAATCCGCTAAAATGTAAAAAAAATGCCACAAAAAATGTGTGGTTAAAATACCGCGGAGTTCTTGAAACTCATTTGTGATTTGTAGTTTGGAAAGCATCAGCGCGTAAGATGTTCCAACAAAAAAATATACAAATGTATTGAAATCCGATCCCTGATTAATATGACCAATAATACCTACCAAACAATTTTTTAAGACAAAAATGTATGTACAAAAACGGATGCGTTTATATATTATACATATTATTCACCTATCTTCTATGTTTTATGAATTTGTATTCAATCCTAAACTTTTGCCGACTATAAGCTATAGGTACCTAATACCTACACACACATAGACCGATATAAGAACATAGGTACCTAGGTACGTATACCTTTACGTGTGATTTGTCTCACGATCGCCAACCCCTCCGCAACGACACCGCCGCGACCACTCACAAAACCGATGAGACAACTATACAGCTTCAGCAGTAACCACTCGCGTGTACCTGTCACAAAGATCGCCATGGCGGTGTAACTAAGGAGTATTGTTTAGTTTTTTTGTATTTTTTTTTTTTTTATAGTGGTTTACCTGATTACAGGTCGAGGCAAACACCACCCACACAAAAAGTACGCACTGCTGTTCCCATTGCTGGCGACGTTCAAGTTTCTGGTGATCAAGACGCTGTTGGTGCCCATATTGGTGGCCGTCATGATCATCAAGAAGATGCTGGTCCTCGGCGTCATGGCTCTGCCCACCTTATTGACCATGTTGCGGTTCTGCCGGAACCCCAACTTCGGGGGCTTTGGCGGCTTCGGCGCCGGTAACCTCGTGGCCACGGGCGCCGTCGGTCCGGTTGGCCAAGCGGCAGCTTTCGCGCCCCTCACGGCCGACATTTCGGGCGACTACTCTTCGTACGTGCAACAGTCGGCCGCCGCATCCCAGCACAACGGCGCCTACAAGGACTACTCCAAGAACCTTATGGACGCCATGAAGACGACGTACTGACGACGCGGCTGTGAAGCCCACCACTCGCATTGCAATATTGTTGTTGTCTTTGAACACGGTTTTATAATATAGACAATCCATCCCCAGTCCCCCACCCACAATCCTCCAACATTTTAAGCGCCCAACTACTGATTATTCGCATTATCTTATTGATAGGTACCTATCTACCTTTTTTACGTTATCCTCGGCCGGGCGATTGTAAACTCTCCCGATTTTAATGGCATGTAAACTCTCCCGATGGTMAACTCTCCCGGGTTTAGTCCAATACTACCTGACGGGAACATGTAAACTCTCCCGGGTCTAGTTCAGTACTACCTGAAGAGAACATGTAAACTCTCCCGGGTCTACTGCAGTACTACTAAGCTAGCTGGGGAGCA